TGTACACTGTTACATTGTTTCCATTATTATTTTTCACTGAGAAATAATGTCGGCTATATGATAACTTTTCAATGTTCTTGAGATACAAAACAAGATATTAGGAAACAAAATAGAAAAAGGAAAAAAGATATCATTGTTTTCCACTATAAAAGTAAAAAGATAAAAAAAAGTATTCGGAAAAGAAGATACATTTAGAAGGCATAAATGCTATCTCGTAACGTAATCGACCGCATCGTACTTGTCAGTGCTTGTGAGGTGCACTTTTCCAACCGGTAGATATTTTTTTTATTTTGTCAAATTAACGGACATTACGCATATGTAAGTGAACAATGTGCGTACCACACTTTTGCTAGCTAATACTGCCGTGGCTACATTGATATCCCGCGGGAATGGAAATAGTTGTAATTTTAATTAACCGGATGATTACGCCGTGCACACTGGCCGGAGATCGTGTACACGGCGAACGGTAATTTTGCTGTATATACAGTAGATAAATATACTATAGCCGCGCCAAACTAAACAATGCTCTCTTGTGATAGTCCTCTTGCATCGTTAATATATATATATATATATATATATATATATCGTTATATATCTGTTCTAAAAGGCAAAAGTTGCATCTTCTTTATAATGTATGTTATCTTCTATTCTATAAACTCAAGATTGGGAATAATGCGTTTTTTTTTACCTATAATTACCGTTTTCGTTACTTTTTCGGTAACGATCGTTATTTTTTTTCTGTAACCTTAATGATAACGTCGTTACATTTTTTCAGTGACGATAACGAATTTAATCATTATTTATATCATTTAATCTCTTACTATCTTTATAACTATTCAATAGTTCACATTATTTTTAATTGGATAGAAATATTTTACAATAGAAATTTAAACAACGAAAAATGTTTTGTACTTCATATCTTAGGTTGTATTCCGATAATCACTGCCAATAATGAAAATCAGTAATGTACTAATAATACTATACGTAATAATACTATAAATTTTCAATATTGGCAGTGAATATTGGAATTCACTCTTAATAGCATTAACGTTTAAAAACATGTTTAATAAAAATTTTTAATAAAAGCTGAATTTATAAATTACAATCTAATTTTCTAAAGATAAGCATATATCAAAAAATAAAAATATTAGTATATTAGAATTAGTGAAGATTATTGTTATTTATTATTTATTCAAATTTAGTAGAGAGAAAGAGAGAGAGAGAGAGAGAGAGAGAGAGAGAGAGAAAAGAGAGAAGAAAAGCTATATAGAAACTAGCTTAAAATTTTAAGTTTTATAATATTGATTTTCACAATTAATATTAATTATTAAATAATATAATTTTCGAATCTAATATCTTACTTTAACATTACAAAAAAAAAAGTAACAAAAAAGTAACAAATCGTTTTCAAGTAACAGTAACGTGTTATTTTTATGAAGTAACATTCCCAACTCTGTTCACCCTGATTCATTTACATTTACGTCTCTCTGGAAGAGACATACGTGCTATTCCTTATTTTCTTTTTTTAACCTAGATGTAGTCATCTGATTTTTTTTAAGTTAACAATCTAGAGTATTTTTAAATCCCAATTAAAATCGCTATTATTAACAACATATATTATTGTTTTCCAATTTATTATTATTTGAAAAGCATCATTATAAATATATAGATTTAATCAACACAATTTGTTGAAAAAATATAAATCAAACAAGTAAACGAAATAAGCACATTAAACAGCTTATTATATTTTTTCTAAAAAAATTAAGATTTTTAATGAATATAACAGTTTTTATTACAGGTTTTTTAATGGAATTGCATATTTAAAGATAAATAAATAGTTAAAAAATATGGTAAACAATATCCATAGGAAATAGTATTTTACAATTCATATTTTTCACTGCATATAAAAACACAGCTGTCTATTCTCATGTTAAGTGTATAACTATCTGAGATTTAATCGATTTAAAACGTATCGAAATTTAAGGAATCAAATAAATTCCTTGAAGACGCAGTTAAAATTAAAATATTAAAATAATCTAATTGTAAGATTTATTTCTAAAATATAACTGCTCGAGCAGTTATATAATGACTATCATGTTAAATTTGCATTTCTCCCTTCGCTTTTAAATTGTTCTCGTTTATATGCGGTCTAGTAATCGAGACGCAACTATCTCGTTAGTATTTATAACACGTCGTCATCGCTCGATAACGTTTTTCAGGCAAATCGCAACAACTGCATCGCGAGCCTCGGGGCGCCCCTCCGTATATCGCCGCGGAGCAATCACGCAAATTAGCGTAATTCACATATAAAACTTTTTCTCTTTTTCTCTCTTGAACGTTACGTACGGTCCCCTCCTGCCCGTATGCAGTCTCTCGCAGTTTTCTACAGATCTTAACGGCACGGATCTCGTAACGTAACTCGATAATTACCGCAATCACGGGAAGCGCCCTTTCGTTATTCCGGCCATATGCCGCGGTCGACCAGTACACCCCGGAGGTACGAAGGGCCCCCCGAACTACCGACTGTAAAACTTCCTCCCCAAATGGCGTTACTTCTTTTTCTTCTCAGCTCTCCCCGCGAGGGAATCTTCCCTCGAGGTACCCCCCAAAACGAATTGCTTCGTGGCAGAGGTACCTGTCCGATTCTGTGCTTATCAATTAAAGCGAACTGTCTCGCGAGAAAAAAGTATATTTTGACGAATATTGATAAGTACAACTACAGATTATCCCCCGAAATGAATTTAGTATTTACGATAGTCCTTTCGTCTTGTACAAAACGAATTCCTGAGGACCGCGAGTGAACCCGCAATGATAAAAAGAGAGAATAGGTTTTTTTGGTTGATATAAAATATATTTTATTTTATTTAAACATTAACTCTCGGGCAGTAAAGCTCTTATACAAAATAAGATTGGTGAACACGAGACATGTGTCACACTTCGATATCATTTTTAATCAATAGGCATATAGAATATAAATTTTTGTGGTTTTCGATTGAGATATAATTTTTGATCGATAAAATACAATGTTATGAATATTTAATAGTTAATAAATTGAATAATTCCAACGAATATCTTAGTAATTATTATCCATATAGCACCAGAAAATTTTTAGAAATATTTCTCAGAAATATTTCAATTGAAAAGTGAAACATTTCATAAAAATTGGGAAATATGTCTGCAACAACATTTCTGAGACAGCTCTGAAATAGCAAAATGTCCGCGATTCCTTTCTTGCATAAAGTCTTATTGAAATGTCACAGAAAGAATCTGCAATTTTTTTGAAATATTACCAAAGAGATTTCAGTCATTTCTAGTATTACAAAAATGATATTTAAATAATAATATTTAAATTTATTATGTCGACATAATAAATTTGAATATTATTTAAGTATCAATTAAATATATATTTAAATATCATTTTTAAAGTACTTAAAATCTATTGAGAGTTTTGATCTGTTTACAGATTACAAAATTTATTAAAATAAATCTCAAAAATTATATTACCAACTATTTTGATAAATTAATCATATTATATGAGTAAAAAACACTTATACATAATTATTATTAAAAAATCACATCTGCAGCTTCCACATAATATCATTATTCATATACAAAAGTTTTTCGTTTTTGTATATAAATATTTGTATGCAGCTAAAAATTTAATTGAATATTATTTTAATATTATGACTTATCCTACTTTAATTGAAGTAGGATAAAATCATAATATCAAAATAATGTTAAACTAAATCGCGATTGATCAAAAAATGACTTTTAATAAACATTTTGGAGTCATGTTAACATTACGATGATTTTTTTGTTCAGTTTAAATGTTTTTCAATTTATTGCATATGATAGATTTTAGAAACATTTCTGTTAAAACATTTCATATGACATTGCAGAATCTTTTCAGAATTGTTGCATATGAGATATGAAAGATTGAAACGTTTCTGAAAAGTTTCCGCAATAATCAGTGCTGTATGGACATATCAAAAAAATTTACAAAGTTGAAAGTTAAAACAATTTTGTTTACCATAAGTGTTTTCCATTTGTGATACAAGTGTCGTTTTGTCTTCGTTACTCATTGAATGTCAAGATAGAATGATATTTATGTCGACTCGTGTCATCAAATAGAAAGCATATAATGATTATACGTTACCGAAGGTAGTATAAATAAAGGAAGGATACAAATCGATATTTTTAGCTGTAGTTTGTATCTTTTTATATCTTCATAGAATTCCTTCTTATAAATTTTATAAATATAACTATTATAGAAACAAAGATTTTATTTCAAATTAAGGCACTTATCTTTTACATGAGGCAAATAACTGTTAAGCTCATATATAATAATTATCTGGCAGTTATCATATAACTCGATTAAAACTATTATTTTTGCGATCTTGACAAAATATAATGCATGGAATAAAGACAATTGTCCTTAGCGGAGAATTGATCCTTATTTTCTTAATGTGAGTTCATGAATATATTTTGATAATTTTACAAATTATTTGGCGATTATTCATAAAGAAATTAAATTTTGTGGGCAGTAGCTTGTTCAATTAATAGTAATGGAATAGTTATGGATAAAATCTTATATATATGTATAAAACGTTCCTAAATATGATACAAAATTACTTAAAAATATTACGTCTGTTTTTATATCATGAATCTATTTTGTTTCATAAAATAAGTATAATGTGAATTACGGACATAATAATAATAAAGACTATTTGTTAAAGCTTCGCATATAAAAAAGATATTAATTAATTCATAAATTGCATATTAATATATTGATAATAGATTAAAGAAATATTTGTCTAAATAGGATGATAAATGAAATATTTACGCAAATAGAAGAATAGTAGTTTCCCCATGTCTACATTTCATTGGACTATTATTAAATGTCTTTGCAATCAACTTTGTTTGCAGACAAGTCTAATTACCTAGTTATCTATCATTATTTGCCATTCCCTCATTTTATTTTCTGAATCAATCGTTGATTCTTTCTACATAATAGTCATCAATGATTATTATATGCTCTTGAAGTCTCTTTCTCACTATTTATCGTGAAAGTTTTACGACTTCTCACTCGATTCTAACTTTTGATTCGTCTTGTTCATATCATTATTCTCCATAAGTCTAACCTTGTCTGAATCAATAGTTTTTTCGTTATTCAATGGTTCCTCTTTCTTCTTATTAAGACCCACGAATTCGGCTAACACATTTTGTCGAGATCTTTCTGGAAATTGTTCTCCCCTACCTACAGAGATTAAAGTTGCCCGTTTAGGAGGTCTTTGTAGCGGAGGTAGTTTCGGTAGGACGGAAATTTGGTCTAATTTCGATGTCGACTCTTTTTGTATCTCCTGTTGTTTTGCTAGTGATTTCTTTGTCTCCTCCTGATTGGATTTCGATTGTTTCTCCTTTTGGTCGAGTGAAGACTGTTTTTTTATCTCTTTCTGGTCAGATTTTACAAGTTGTTTCTTTATATCTCCCTGTGTGATTTTTTTAGTGAATTGAGTAATAAGTGGTATATGTTTCTTTTCTTTTTCTTTATCTTTTTCTTCTTTTTCAGTCTTATCAGTTATAACGTTTTGAGAATCGCTTTTCTGACTTGGTACCAAAATATACTTCCAACAATTCGGTAATGACAGCTTAATGTCAGGAAGATATTGCTTTCGGATGCCTTCTGGAATGTACCAGCAAGATTTAAGATGCATCGGTCCCTCTTCGGGACATGCTATCCTGTCAGCGATTTCACTGATCTTCGATAATACGCTAACTTTCGATAAATGACTCCCACTCTTTTTGCTCCAAAATGTCATGAACTCTCTCATAAGAATGTGCCTGCCATGTCTGTTTCCGTGCACTAACCGGATCAGATCAGGCAAAGCTTCATCAGGGAACTTGGTTTTCTTAGGTCCTTTTACAGATTGTTGGCTAGGCGTCTTGCATTCAATATTAGTCGAAGTATCTTCTTCCGGTGATGACGACGACGGAAGTATTATCGGTATATTGTTGACCCAAGCTTGCCGAGCTGACAAGAATTCTTTGACTTTTGGAGGAACTGAAACAAGTTTGAATATGTCATTGTGAATAATTTTAAATATAGAATATTTGTAATAAATATTTGTAATAAATATTATAATACTATATAATACTACAAATATATAATAAGTATACTATACACACATACGCACGCACGCACGCACGCACGCACGCATACACACACCCACACCTATAAACAAAATATACTTACTAGATTCTGGAAATGAATTGCCGGGTCCCTGCCAAATGCATCCGATTATTTTTGGCTTAAGTTTATGTGTTTTCGCGTTTCTTTCAGCTTCAAATTGTTTTCCTAATATCTTCAATTTCATTTTCTGTGTTTGCGGTGACTATAATAGAAAAAAATATGCTTTATACTGATCTGTATTTCAAAATAAAATTTTGTATGTATAAAAACAGTTTTCTTAATATGTACTATTACAATATTCTTACCATATCCTCCATTTCTTCCTCATCAGCCTGCGCTTCTTCCTCGGACAAATATCTAAAATAACAAAATGTTTTCTTTTTAAAAGAATTTACACGTAAAGATCAAAAGATACGAATATCAGAAATTTATAAATAATAAAATTAATCGCTTTGATACAAATTTTATTTTCTGATAGCAAGACAAATTCTTAGAGGCTTTTCAGAATTGTAATTTTTATTTTTATAAAAAAAATTTCCTTGTAAAATTTTAATTTTAATAAATAATGATATTTTCGAATTATTACTGTATAATCTGAGAGAGAGAGAGAGAGAGAGAGAAAGGGAAAGAACTTCTATATAATTTTTTAAATAACCTAAAGAATAAAATACAGTAGTATTTTACTCTTTAGGATATTAAAAAAATTATTTCTAATAAATATATTTGAAAAAATATTGATAACTTTTAAAATATATTTCACTTTTATAATTTCATAATTTTATACAAGTTTATAATTTCAACATACATTTAACTGATGTTACTTACCCATGAGGAACCATGAACTCATTGTCGATGTCGTATTCATTTTCTTCCGGATTTTCCTCCTTTTCATCCTTTTCATCATCCGATCCTTTGAGTGATTCGCCAGGTTCTTCCTCTTCCCACTCATCGTCGGAATCAATTTCATATTCAAACAATTTCTAAAAAATAAAAATCTTTCTTGCAGATACTTTAAATGGACTCGATTTTTTCATATCATTAACTTTTCAGCATGAATATAAAGTTTCATATGATATTATTCTAAAAAAAAAATCTTGTAATTAATTATCTCTTACAAACAATTCTCTATGCCGATTATATCAAAAAATGATCCCGTATTGCGAGCGAAAAAGATAAAAGAAAGCATATCACTTTCAAAATTCATGTAAATGAATGCCGCTCTCATATAAATATTTTCGATTAAGGATGTTGGATAGACGTATGTAGCACATATATTAATATTTATATTAAACAGTAAACGTATGAAGATTGTGTTCAACATTTTGTTTTTATTAAACAATGTTTTTATAGTTTATTAATTTTATTTATTGTTTTTATTGTCGTGAACTAATATTTAAAAAATAATAAGAAAAATCTCTAAATAATTTTGTATAAATATTTTAAGTATTCAAAATAACTTATACAAAATTTTATTATGATTCGCTAACTAGTTACAAATATTTAGAACAAATAAATATTTTGTTTATTTACTGGATAACTTCATGTAACTTGTAAACTTTACATAAAGTACTCATATTAAAAAAATTGAGATTTTTGTCATTTATTTTATAATATAAATACATTTCCATATTTTTCTATTAGAATAAAATGATTAAAAAAATATTACTTTTTATGATTTATGATTCAAATAGTAAACCGTCACTAAAAAAATTTATTGTATTACTTTTAAATAAAACGATTTAAAATAATCTGCAATTTTTCATAATTTTTTTATTTATTTCAAAATAACTATCAAACATTCTTAATTTGAACAATTCGATGGCGTTCTTGTACTATCATTATAATTTTTTATACATTGTCATTGACTTGTTTATCTTTAATTTCGGTTACGACCACGACGGAATCTCAGTTCGTGAATAAGCAGGACGTCGATATCAAAGCAACTTCCTCGACGAGTGATATCTCGACTTTGCAATCATCTCCGACGTGCTAGCCCACACGTATTCCCAATTCTCTTAGTTACAAAGTTGTAGTCGGCCGCTGAACGTCCTATCAAAATGTAAATGCAAGTTCTTCGACATTTGTTTTTTTCTGTAATGGCCTCGGTGAAGTGTTAAAATAAATGCTGTCCGATTGTTTTCGCGTAACCACCGATACGAGGAAGTTAAAGATACATCCTCGTCGCAAAAATCGGTCTTTGACGAATGTGATGTAATTATCATCGCGTAAAATATGAAGTATTATATCAACATATTTTTGCGCTCGGTGTGAAGGGGAATGTATAATATACCGTTCGTTATTCACGTGCAACTTAATTGGTAGCTTGTTAAGTAGCTATTTTCACCTCCGCGTTTGCAACAGCATTCTGGAGTAACTTGTCGAGTAGCTATTTTTATGATACTTTTTATTTTTATTTCCGATATTTTGGATTAAAATGGGGCACGATTAAATATATGTTATCGCATAGTACTTATCAGAATTTGTTGAATGACAATATATGTGGCGCGTTCAATGAAGCGCGATAATTCCCAGGAATATAATTGAAATCAATTAGTTCGAAACAGTAATAAAACGCATCGCGGTAGTGCGCTATTCCTTGCCGAAAAGTCGATAATTTTCCTTCTCCCTTTCTCTCTCTTTCTCTCTCCCTCTTTTCTCTTTGCGCCGCGGTGCGAGATATTCTTTGTTCGATAAATCAACGTCGATTTCATCCCTACGTGAGCATCAATTACAAGACTCTTCTCGAGACATTAATTTATTATCGCGGAGAAACGTAATCTCACGGGCGATTGATACACTCGTCGCTGAGGCGAGTAACACAAAAACAATCGCCGGTTCATCGCTAATAAATAAAAAGGGAAAAAACGTTCAAGCAGCTTTTGGCAGCAATACGAAGGTACGTATGACGTCTCGCGAAACGTGTAATTTATTATCAAGAATACAAGATGTCCCAGATTCTGAATCGTATTTCTTTTCAACTACGGATTGTTTAATCATTTTCAAACTGATTTCACCTTACGAGCACATTGAGACATAGAAATCATTTTTTAATTATAAGTGATTTAAAACAATATAACTTCAAATGTATTTTACTTCGATAAAATTTTGATTTTATGAATAACTGATACATCTAACACAAAAAATTAAGAAATACATAAAATAAAACTAAATTTACAATCGGGAAAAACTAATTGAAAATTATTTAAAAAATAAGTAGTTAAAAAAAAGTTAATACAGACATTGAAAGAAAAATATTTGTCATAATAATTTCATAGTAAAATAATTATGATTAGGAGCTCAATTTTTATGGATATTACTGCTATAATATTAATAGTAAGTATAATTTGCTGAAATATAAGATCATTATACTATAAATTATGATAATCTCAATTAGTAGAATATAGTAAAATATCATATAAGTAACACAGATCGACAAAATTTAGAGGGGGTCTTGTGAACTTTGAAAGATTTTTCCATAGGATTTTGATACGCTGAAAAGGACTACGTTGTCCATTTTTTAAATAATCGCAAAAACAGTTTTTTTCCAGAAGTAATTTTTTCCGGCTAAACAAAAAATGATATCGAGGTTTGTTTTGCGACATTTAACTCAGAAATGTTCCAACAATACTAAAAATATTTTTTTGATACTTATAAAAATGTTTTATGCAAACCGCAAACAAAAAATTTTGGAAAAATTGTAAAAAATCGGAATAAAATTGACAAATTTAAAATATAAAACCAAATAATTCGAAAGAAAAAAATATCTGACAAATTATACTTATTAGTTGTATGTTTCTAGTTTAAATCTTTTTTTGAAAAACTAATTTCCAACCATTTGTTCAGAAGTTATTGAATTTAAAGCACCAAAGCAGCTCGCGCGTCACCTACGTGCGCGACATTCTGTCGAGACACATAGCCATCGAAGGGCATGTTGTGTAGGATTAATCTTTTTTGATCACTGATTTCAAATCTGAAGTAAAAAAACGCGCAATTTAAAATGGCGGATTCAATATAGAGGACAAGAATTTGAAAAAATTCGTACATGAAAACCGATATCTGGTGTTTTCGTAAGTCTCTGATTACTACCGTAATCACCTGATTACAATTGTTGAATTGAAAATAGATCCAGACAATAATAGATTACATAACCGGACCGTCTACATTTTTATAATCAACATTTGTTTTTACTATTTAAATTGATGTGTCACACTCACTCTGATTAGAGGCGTGAAGAATTGGGAACAGATTTCTCGCATCGAAGGCATCCTCGGCGCATACGCATGTACGCACGCACGAAACCCAAGAAGAAAAGCGCAGTTATCGGCCCGAGGGTGCGATGGATGCGCTTAACGTTGCGTTGATGCATGCCGCGAAGCGTCGTACATTATTTACAGCGTGTTGTCGCCCGGCGGGCCATCTGTAATGGCTGTTTTATGCTCCATTAAGATTACGACCGGTGCTCCTCGTCGTGGATACACCGTAGATTAGACGGTCCGACAATCGAACTGATTTATTCCTCGAATATTCGGGGAATATTACTAGACTCCTGCATTTCGTTACCGAGTTAGCGTGACGATGACGTCCGCATTGGAAATTGAAGATTGTGAACTCCACGTGAACTGTCATCGCTATAGAATGATGATTGGTCCCGTGAGATATACAATACATATTGCCCATTTGAGAGCTTGTAAAAACTACGGTTCGATAGGCCAGGTTATCAAAAAAAATATATAAGAGAAGACATATCGATATTTAAAAAAAAATTGGTTAATTTGTATAGCTCTTAAAAAATACGAAAATAGTCTAAATTTTTCCCGTACGTAAAAGTATTCTATTGACGTCAAATAGTTAGAATTATTGTTCATCATTTTCTGTAAAATGTGACACTGTAATAAGCGTGATCGAGATTTTAATTTCCCAAATGAGATGACACGTGCACAACAGCGTTTCGTGCTGGTCATGACGCAGGATCTAAAATGCGTCTCTCGCAAGATAAATACGTGTGTTATCACTGAACGAATAAATTTCACGCAAAATGGACTATTACCAATCATTGGTTGATACATTAATTATAATAAATATATACGTTAAGAAGCATGTAATGTTACTTTAAGAGAGTATATTCATACATGAAAGTAAAATCCATTAAAATTCGGAAAGATTTAATAAATTTCAAAAAATATAATATGTTTGATACAATTTTCGAATAATTAACTCGAATAGAAGAGTACTTATATCCGATATTCACAAAAAGTAGTATTAAAAATATATTTTAAGTTAAAACTTGGTAATTTTAGAAGTTAGAAGTTAAGAACTTGGTAATTTTGTAATACACGACAATCTTAATTAGATCAAATACATGAGAATTAACTTGACGAATTAATTGATTGACATTGGCTCAACTCTTGCTAGAAAATCGGTTATTTTATGTTCTTTATACGTTTTACGTTTATTTATATAACTTTGTAACTTCATTATTTTATTTATTTAATTATTTTACATACTCTGAAGATAGCCATATCTTGGCCGAAACGTTTATGTTTATTTATGTCAACTTGAGAAATTTTTAAATAGATATATGACTCTCACTAACGGTATCCAGCGTGTGGCTTTTTTGCTCTTTATTTATATATTATATATTTAAGTCACGTTTGACAAATTTAATTTATTTTAAGTTAGTTTCAATCCAATGTTCAGAAAGAACCAAATCGAACTGCCTGACAAGAACCTGCGATGCGATATACGGCAGCCGATGAAAATTGATATCTGATATATAGCGTACGGGTACTGAAAGGGTTAAAGCTGCGCACGTGAGTTATGAAAGCGCGATGTTCGCGGAATATTACGTAGCGTATACGAACGTCAATGTGAGATATCGTTCCTCTGGACACAATAAAACACGAAATCAATCCGATATCCGTGTGTGCCAGCGGATTAGGTGTCGATATAATTGCGGTATCTCTACCGAGATATCTCCATT